GGCTCAGGAATAAAGTCACCAACCGACTCAAACTGGACGTAGAGCACGTTGCATGAACCAGTATAAACCCTGTGTCATTGAGTGCTAGACCACCTCCGATCACAACGTACAGCAAAACTACAAATATTTACGTGTTGATCACTTTCTGCACCGAAACAACAAATTAATAAAGAACAAAAGTTACCCAAAATGAACATTCTCGAATTCAATGCACCCTCCCTTGAACTGCAAAGGTTGTGCATGAGGCTCATCCTTTATTCCAGGTTTTTCCTTAAAAAAATTAAAATATATCTGAAGTATCAGAGAGCATGAGTTGAGTATGAAACTGAAATTAAAGGCCTTTAGAGACTTGATAATTTCAATATATAACTTTACCTCAAGCAACTGAAACATCGACTTCATGTCAATGAGGCTTTGTCTAGATTCTCGATACACACTCCCAAGGAAGTTCAGAGGCAATGAAAGCTGGAATAGAAGTCCATTAACCATGACCTTGTATGACAAGAATTCGCTAAATTAGTCAAGAGCAACTTGCAAATGGATAGAGACAGAAGAAAATAAAGACAACAGCTGGAGCCATATCAAAACATGGTTAAATAAACAATGATTGTTGTAAAAACGTATTTTCACAATTCATTTTTGTTTTATCACAATTCCATATCTTCCAGTAATACTGTGAGATGAATGAGCAACTATCCATGCCACGGTGCACATGCAACTTCAACAGTGAGTGGCATAAGAAACAAATAGAACATGGATGAGATAGTTACCAAATCACCCACAGTCAGAGCACCACTCATTATTCCATATGAGCTCAAAACCATTGCTGCAGATAAAGCCGAGCTAAAGATAACGTTTTGGCCAAAGTTCAGGTAGGCAAGACTACTTTGGGTCTTCAATGAAGCATCCTCATATTCTGATCACAAATCACGTTGTAGCAAAAATAATTAATAGATTAGATCTCTTTAACAATATCAAGTTATGGTGTGTGCCAGTGTTACAAGTCAGGTGGGACGAATCAAATCTATGAAACAATACTTGACTCCACGTTTAAGCGATTTCGGAACAACTACATTCTGAACCCTAGTTAATTGAAAAAGATCATTTCAAGAAATCAATTCTAATCTTTTTTTTTTTACAATTAGAGAGCAAGAGCACATTCAACATATCAAGATGCCAAAGATACACATCAACAGATTAGACGGATGAACACGATGTAACATCAAATGCTGAAATTAGTGTTTTTTTTGTGCACATTTACTCTACAATGACACTTCCACCAAGATTTAAGGCATAAATGCACTCACTTCTTAAATATTTGTCGTACTTCTCAACTTCAAATTGTTCGTTGTTGAAGTATTTCACAGTCTACAAACAATCAAAGGGAAGAACAATAAATTGTTACTGCTAGAATAAACAAGGTAAGATAAAGAAACCGGAGTAATGGACAGTTATGGGATGACCTCATAATTCAGAAGAGAGTCAACTGCCACCGTACTAGAAGCATTATCAGCTTTATTCATGGCCACCCTGAACTTAGTCCGCCACTGTCATAATTATAATTTTTTTTAAAAGGCACCAATCAGAAATAGAGTAAAACATATTTAGACGTTACATGACGACTTAAATAGCTGAAACCACAAGAATATCTTGAGAGATATAGGTTTGACGGCATAGTATTGTGTTTGCACCTGTGTGACAGCCAAAGTGAAAGCAATATAAGTAGCAACTGAAGCTGAAGTAATCCAAGCAAAAGTTGAACCAAACTTGTAGGCAAGTATGCTTGACACCATACCAATCTGCAAATGAGGAGTATCAGCAAAACCCAAAAAAAAAATGCCATATATTTCTTCTTAATAAATGATACGCAGCTCTCATGTGTGTTCGAGAAAAAAAAATCTGAAGTAAGAAATAACATCACTGGCAACATGCACAAGATATGGACCATAACATTCACACACAACAGTCTGTAAGTACCTCTAGTATTATGGGCACAACATTAAACACCATGACTGTGAGAATGTAATTTATTGCACGGCTTCCTCGATCAATTACGCGATTTATAGCACCAGTTTGCCGGCTACAAACACAAAAGCAGGTAAGAAGCATAAGAAAGACTTCAAGAATTCTCCAGCTTGAACCAAAGTTAAAAACAGTATATATATATATATATAACAAAAAGGCTGAATCTCGTGACTTGTTTCCACAGGTATCTATTAGAAAGCTGCTCCTTTCCTCAATGGGATTAAAATGAAACTATTGTTATGAAAATAGTGCACCCCCTTGAGTAGGAGTTTTGTCACTTCCAACAAATATTCTCAATTTCTTAATGTAATTAGGCAGCCATCTAATTCTCTGATGTTATCCGCATAAACCTTCTACATTACTTTTGAGTTCTGATGGTTTTTTCCAAAAATGCCATGAGTTAAACAAATTATTCATCCCTTCCAGAGACTGAGAAGTATAGGAGGGAGAATTTCCTACAGGTACCTTAGATGATAACGAAGATCAAGCTCATGCAAGTGAGAAAATACCTGCAATATCAAAAGCTCACAAGATAAGGTAATCATAATTTCAACATTTAATTATTTGTTGAGCATCAAGAATAGAAAACAATCTGTTAGATGACCTGTACTGGGCCTTGCAGCCCAAGGTCTAGTCGGCCAGCCTTTTCAGGCTGTGTGCCTTGGACTCCAAGTCCGGCACGTATTGTAGATTGACTTGTACTTGTCAAGGGATATCGGAGGATGGTTATGTTTCTATAAATCGCCCCAATCCCTGCCTATATATGCATGTACTATGTATCTCCATAATCAATCTACTAATTCTCGCCGCATACCTTTCCTTTCACAATCAGAAGTAACCAGTGCCCAAGATACAATAAAGTTTGATGCTTCAATTATGATTTTATCATTCGGAAGAAGTGCAATCTTCAAAAACAACTTTATCTAAGAAAATATTCCAATGCGCATATAAGCATCACAGCAATACATAGAAGAACATAATACTGCAGAAAAAAAAATCCATATGATCACTCAACCAACAGCCGGAAGTAATTGTAACTATTTCATGAATACAGAAATACACAGGAAAACTACAATCTGCACCAAAAAAAAAGATCCATATTGTGTTGAATTATCTGGACAGTTACAAAGAAGAATGGATGATAAAAAGAAGATTGTGCATTGAAATAAGAAAATAAGTTCCAACATTTACCTTTCTGGATACTGAACGGATGGCTCTCAAAGTCACTTTAGAAAATACAGCGTTTCGTAGTTCTGGCAACACAGAAATCATCACGAGGGAAAAAGGATTAAAGGAGAGGTAGTCTGTGCATTTCAAGAGGGGGGGTGGGGGGCAAAGAAAGGGATCTGAAATGCTTATTAGTTATTTACAAGCTCTGGTGAGCTTCAGCATCTTTTTTGGGTGAGTGGGGGCAGGTGGGTGTTTTGTGCATGTATCTGGTGGGCATGGAGTGGGGGAGCAACTGATGATATATAAGAAAAGGTGTTTACCTGTACAGGCTGATACTCCTGATCGTGCGATTCCATATCCTATCAGAACAGCTGCTGGGCTTGCAAAGAGAGCCAATAGGGTGGCATTAGTTTCAGTGAATGATGCCAGTGAAGCTTCAGCACCACCAAGGGCTGCAAGCCAGTCGATAGCTAGCTTAAACAAGAAAGGCACTTGAACATTTATAACCTGGCATTCATAGCAAATGCAAAGGGCCAAGTAAGAAAGGTGAGCTGTCATACAATAGCTTCCATCATTTTAGTTCAACCTGTTTTATCTATCCTATTTGAAGGGACACTGTTCACCCTCTTATTTAACATTGACAATAGATGGCTAGTTGTAGCCTTGTTTACTATGAAACAAGATGAAGTGTGTAATCTGGTAAAGAACAGCCTAAAGATTCGCATCCAACAAACAGATTGCGTCTAACTTATCAATTTACATCAGAGTAGGGCAAGTAAGTCCTTTTCATAAAGGAAAAGGGGAAAATGCCTATGCGGTATGGGTAATGAATCTTCTGCAAAAATCCAAACAGACTTTTCGAATTGGAGGGAACAGATTTCCGCCTTTACCTTTGCACCAACTAATAGGCCCAACGACAAGGCAACCCTAAAGCGGAAGTCAGGGCTGTCGTTCAACAATAAGTACTTCCCAAGGTTTTTCAATATCTGAGAATCAGCAATCTCCTCATTAACATCCTTTTTTGATGCATCTTTCTGGACCTTGTCATCAACCGGCTTCTTAACTGTCACGGCATTGGTGGATGTGGAGAATGCATTACCTCTCTGCATACATAGGAAAAATCACAAAACCAGACTTTGAAAGCATTCCTTTTATAGAAAAGGACAGAACAAAGGCAACATTTCGGACTATGGCCTTTTGCATCTACTGTGTGAAACTAAAAGTTTTTCGGCTGTAATAATCTAGAGCCTTGATGGACTAAGCCAGAAGCACACCTCTATAAAGACAACTTTATAGAAGCGAAGGCTATGCTTTCTTTTTTTCTGTTTTTTTTTAATACTAGATATATGCCCGTGCGTTGCACTGGGGCTATAAATTTTTGCCCACATCTACAGCGATACACATGGCTTGCGGCTTAGACAAACATATTAAGAAATCTACAAATCTAATTACATAGAAAATATAAAGCTCGTTTTATGATCTTTACTACATGTATCATGTGCATATAGTTTGTAGAAACGTAACAAAATTGGTTAAACTTTTTTTAGTGCTTGTGTGATTCATGATCTTTATCACCTATATCGTATAGATCAGTTTCTAGGAACCTAACAAAATTGGTTTCATTTTTAAAATTAATACTTGTTTGATTTATTATGCATTTTACAAGTTTATCTAAGCTGATTTGACATAAACGAAAAAAATAGGGCACGCAAAGCAGAGGTGTGGGACCAACTATTAACGACAACATACTCTATAGCAAAACAACGTATGAACGGATGCTCTTAATCTGATCTGATAGAAAAAGGATGACGCATAGCCACCACGCCAGGGGCTTCAGCGGCGGCGTGTCCCTCACGGTGAGCCTACAGCAGTACGACTCCCACAACGGCAGCGTCAACATCGCGTTCCGCGTGCCATCCGTGCAGCACCACGGCGGCGCCGCGGGGTACCTGTTCGCTCCGACAACGGCCGACCATCAGATGGACAGCGGCGTGCACCCGAGGCACCACGTCCAGTTCGACAGCTTGGCATTGACAGCAATTCTCCGCACGGGCAGGAGCGCTACCGGGGCCTGCAGGGCGCCGGGTTTCACCTCCTGCAGGACCTGGGCGGGGGATCTGATCCACCACCCATCGGCCAAAGCTCTAGCTGCGAGTGAGTTGTGACAGATGGAGACGTCGTGTCGGCGCCAAGCTAGCTACGGCCAGGTGCCGCCGCCGCCGGATTCATGGCATACACTCGTGCGCGCGCCCATCTGGCCAGCAGCGCTGTGTACGCACAGATTTGCATTGTTTGGCTTGTTGCTTGCCTGGCTCATGCCGTTCTCGGTCTCAATCGGCAACGCCGCTGCCGCCGCTTGGCCGGGGCTAGCTAGCTGCCACACAGCCGTTGGAGTCCTTCGATCAGCAGTTCTGCACCTAGCTGCCATGATGAAGCTTCAGCAAGTACGAAGGTTGGGAGGAGGGGCGCACGCTGTACGTCCTACGTGATTTGGCATCTGATGAGGCCATCGACCGTCCCCAATGTGGACTTAGGAGACGTAGGCTCCAACGCAAACTACGTACGCTGACAGGGGAGCGGGGCGATTATACGACGATAACGTCTCATATTTTTTAGGTGTAGATAGATAGATAAGGGCAGGAGCTCTGCCATTCAATTAAGGAGGAAAGAAGGTTTAGGTTACAATGGCAGATCCACATCGCGCCTAATCAGGACACAAGGGGATTATACAAGCAAGTAAGATCTCCTTCGAATAAGAGTGTGGGATTATACAAGTGAAGGCTATACTTTCACATGTCTTTTTACAACCATAATAAAACAATAAAAGTGTGACAACACGGCAGCTCCCCCTGAGGCCCTGGTCATCAACGATGTTTTGTTTATCAACAAAGCTATTAAGGAATCACTATCGGTATTAGCTTATTAGGGAACCACTAGCACTATTGCCACTGTTTTACTGCCAATATTTCTCTATCACTAGGCGTACTTAAACATATGTATTGTGACAAAAACAAGTTCGCAAGCATCCATTACTGCCTCTAGACAGACCCGAATACAAAAAGTCCCAACTGCGATAATAAGCACAGTTTACCGTATCTCGTTGAAGCCGCGCGCCGGGCAGCGCGTAGGCAGAGTTCGGCAGGAAGCTGCCGAGGCTGCCCAAGGGGACGCCATTCCGGGGCAGTACGCCACAGTTCGATCCGAAGCCTCCGAGGAGAGTGCTAAAGAGAGGTTTCGGCACGCACCACGGCCTGTTGGCTCCGTTCAGCCGCCGAAATCCGGCAGCGGCGGAGGTAGTCTGGGAGGATCGAACCGGGAGCCGCGGAGAAGGTGGCCCGCCGCGAGTATGCGGGAGCAAGGCCGCATAGCGCCTGGCGGCGGCAGCGGCGGGCGGCGGCGGCCGCGATGGGTAGGGTCAGCAGACGCAGCGTGGAGGGCTGGAGGCGGAGTTGGACTCCCTCTGGCTGCGGAGAATTGGGTCTTTTCCTCCTCTTTTCGGTCCATTTTACCCTTTTTCCTTTTTGGGTTCACTAGTGTTTAAAACGGGATGATTCATCGCACCTGTACAAATTTGTGATGAGTAACGAATTCGTACGGATGCGTGCTAATGGTCATCGCACCTGTACAAATTTGTGATGAGTAACGAATTCGTACGGATGCGTGCTAATGGTAGCCCGACGGTTGACTGCCTTGTTGGTGGTTCGTAAAGAAGTATTGTTGACTGTGTGAGAGAAAAATATTATTCTAGTTAAAAATTTATGATCATTTACGATAAGCCACAGCTAAACGAACATGCTGATAGTCGTTGACTGCAAGCACAGCTAGTACTGCTTAGAATTTAGCCACGATTTAGCATGTCCTGTGTTTTAGTTTATATTTTTTGTGTCCGAAGCGAAATCAGGGAGGGCCAAATCAATCAAGGATAAAAAATTTGGCCAGCCAATGTTTTGGTTGGCCAACAGACAACATCCAAATAAGGGCGCGTTTAGATGCAAAAAATTTTGGATTTCAGTTACTGTAGCACTTTCGTTTGTATTTGGTAATTAGTGTCTAATTATGGACTAATTAGGTTTGAAAGTTTCGTCTCGCGATTTCTCACCTAACTGTGCAATTAGTTTTTTTTCATCTATATTTAGTACTCCATGCATGTGCCGCAAGATTCGATGTGATGGGTACTGCGTAAAAAATTTTGGGAACTAAACAGACCATAAGTCTTAAAATTTAAAATGCTTTACAAAACTTGATAGTTAGTTTTACACCGTCCTTCCTTCAGCAGCACTAGTCATACTTTTTCTGACTAAGTGGGTTGCTTAGAGATGTTTATGCCTTATATCATACACTCTTTGTCCTGTAATATAGTACATTCTAGAAATTTTAAGACAAATTAAGAGAGAACATAAAAGATGCATGTACCTTTATTTTATTTCCTAATCAGACGCTATCATCAACACAATTAATGATGATAGGTTGATAAATGGAAAGTATTTAATGTAAAATTGGTTTTTGTTCTCTAGAATGCATTATATTTGAGGACAAATTTTGAATGCTATAATGCACTATATTATAGGACAGAGGGAATATGATCTAAAGCAACTTGGAATAGGTAGATTAGACACCTAGATCAACTCATGGATACAAACATCGTGACTTAATCAATCATATTAGTAACTTCATTTATAACGTGATCAATGATTCGTAAAATGATTGAATGTTTACTAATTTATGTCTTCATCTCGTATGGATACACTAAACACTTGTGAATAAGGAGCTTAACTTTTTTTCTACCCGCTTTTCTGAAGTGGATGTGACTTTTGGTGTGCCACCTCCCTCTCTATTGCCATTAGCATCACCCTCTCTCTGATCTAATGGAAGAACATCAATACCACCTATAGGAACAAATAAAGTCTTATTTGTAATACTAATTGTTTCAAACATGATCCATTTATGGCCCTATGCTCAAGTGAATTATCTCTAAAGGTTAACAATATACTATAGTGTAAAAACACGTATCAACAAAAATTAGATATTTGTGAGGAGGGACATGATGAATATATTTGGGGGAAGAGACATGATTACTTGCTTATGTGGTGAAAATAATAGTGAATTTTGTGCACATTGCATTTTCCTCTATCCACCTATCATCAAAAACCACAATACAGCTAGTTGTAGGATGGCAGAGGCTGGAAGCTTTTCGTTCCGAAGTCGTGTATCATCTCAATGTACTGCTACCGGATTGCAATAAAAATCTTCCGTTTCCAAAAAAACTAGTCGTAGGATACCTCCCTAATCCACTACATCAAAGCTCAAAGTATTCCATATTATATTTTTTATTGTATCCACCTATTCTTTATTTGCTCCTAACTGCATGGCCTTTTGGTACTTTATAATATCTTCTATGCAAATGTCGTTGAATTCCTCGACGACAAAAGCATCCCATCTTGTCCGAATTGTTGCCGTCTTTTTCATTTCCAACCACAGACTATTAAAATATTGAAAACACAGGCATTTAGCACTCCATCTGATCTAAGTTGGTATCGATCCATATATCAAAAATTATCTATGTTCCCTAACCACGCTATCCATCTATAACCTGTCCATTTGCAATGTAAATAAAATTTGCATTTAATACATCTAAACTATCATGCTTTTGAGAAGAGAAGTTCCTAAATATATCTTGGACGAGCAGGTGAATGGGGGAGCGAGGCGGGACGAAGGTTGACCAAGTGTGTGGCGATAGATCGATTGTACCACGGTGCATAGAGACGGGATAGTGAGTGGGGAGGCAGAGATTTGCCAGCGTTGGACAGGGGAGCTGAGGGATATACTGTGGACCAGAGAGGAGGGCAGATGGGGGGAAAGGAGGGAGGGGTCGATAGGGGAATGAAGGGAGGGTGGATGGGGAGCGGAGAGAGGGGACAACATGTGGGAAAAACGCTCACGATGGAGGACATGCAAGTGGAAGGCGATGGTACAAAAAATGCTCGGTTCAGTGCATGCTAGATTTTTTTGCTGCCCAATTCTCATGTTATTTAAGAATAATCAAGTACTTTGAGTGAGATTCTCGATTATTTTCACCCAGATTTCAATTTTAAGCGGTCTCAAACATGCCGAATGTGTGCTTATTAACACACGTGCTTGGGACATATTTTGTCCTTTGCTAGATGCTAGCTCGACTAACTTTAGCATATGTTAGTCCTATAGTTCAAATGCTTGAGATTAAGAGAGATTTCAGACAACAATTATGTGAGTAGTTTGCTTCAAAGTCAATGGTGATGTAGGTTATGGCCTGTTTGAAAGAGTTCCAACTATAAAATAAACAGCTTCAGAGCACCACCTTCACCATAGAGTAGCTTCATTCTGGAGTTGGCCTCTCACAATGGGGCTAATGGACTTGCTTGACTTGGAGGTTAGCTTCATATCTAGAAAATTGAAGTTTTTGTGGGAATGGTTACTTATACCCTTGGGAGGTTGCATGATAAATGTTTTGACATGGTCTAAATAAACTCTATATTTTTTGGAATAACGCCATAATGAAAACATTAATTTCAAGGTTTGTATAGTTTTCATGTCAAAATTCTTAAGTGCACATGAGTATCCAACGTCGACATAACAAAATAAAACCATGTCAACATGGGATAGATAATTAACCATGCCCATGAGAATATCCCAACACAAATGTCAATTTCCATAGATAGGAAATTAAACTAAACGTTGAACTGAGACTACAAATTCAAGTCTTCTATTACATGCAAAACCAATAGTGGTGGCCAATTTGTCAAAAAATACATATATTGTAACAACCCGGGTTTTTAGAGAAGCCAAAAATACGAACTTTTAAAAAAAAATTCTGCAATGTGTGAAGCATGTAGATGCTATGTCAAACAAAGAACAATTTATAAATAAATTGTTGCATACATATAGTGTTACTTGTAGGAGCTTGCCAGAGTTCCTTATTTGGTTTAGGGTTTTGTGTTGAAGAGCACAAGTCCGTAGCGAATCTTTTTAACTCCTTTTGGAATCTCTCATGAACCCCTTGACCTAAATTCTATAATCAACCAACTATCTTTATCAACTCAATACCCGTGAATTGCCAACCCTTGACATGGACCCCACTACTCCTAGTTGACCTCTAATGGACCCCACTAGGAGGTGTACAAGTTGGCGACACATGTAGTCAATATAGGAGCCTTGGTTTATTTAGAAAATAGGAAAGTCAATCTGGCCCAAGCACATGACCAGCCAGCCCAAGATGCGCGACCGGCCCAACCCTCCTCCTAGCCCCGCACGTGCCTTCGGCCCAGATGGAGCACAGCAACCTGCTTCGGCCTGCCTCCCCGAGCTGGCCCAGCTCGCGCGCATCCTCTTCTCTTGGCCGCATGGCCCAACTATCAACCGGCCGGCCTAGCATGGCCATAAGCTCAGTAGTGCTCGCAAGCCTCCCACGCAGCCGGCCCAGCATCGCCGCTCACATGCGCACAAGCCGCTGACAAGCCGGACCCGCCCGTCAGCCGTCACGCACCGCACGTCGCCGCATCAGGACAAGCTGACAAACCGGACCCCACGCGTCAGCCACCCCAGCAACAGGATCATCTTCCTCCCCACGCCAACCTCTTCCACGACCGGGAGTCGACCACGGAGCAGACGCGGGCCCGGGGTCACGCACATCGCATGACCCTATTCCCTCTTGCGTCGCACGTATCACCACCGCCCGATCACCGTCTGCCATTGGATCCCTTGGAGCTCGGCTATAAAAGCCAACGGCCATGAGCCCTAACCCTCAGCCCGATAGGCGCCGCCGCTGGTGGCACATCACCACACCGCGTCAGGCCAAGAGAGAGGGAGGAGGAAGAAGCAAGGAGGAGAAGGAAGCCGCTGCGGAACCGGACCTCGCCGGAGCCAGGAGCGCCGCCCCGATCGGCTACAGCGACGTAGCTGCTCGTCACGGCACTGCATCGCCTCATCACGACCTCGCCTCGCCTCGCCTCACCACCGCACCGCCATCCTACCGCCACGAGCCCTACGGTGAGCCACATCGTTCGCCGCTCACCACGCTAGCCGTACTCTCCATGGACGCCACCGTGTTCCCGCACCTAGGGAACGCAGAGGCGGAGCATTCCCGCTCCTAGACACGCTGCACACACACCACACGCGCACCAGCCCAAGGCCTGGCCTCACCGACCCCTAGCAGCTCGGGAACACCGGCACGACCACTCCTAGCCTCTTGGACGCCATGAACGGACCACGTCGGAGCACGAGCTCTTGCTCTGGCTTAACCAACCGGTAGCATAGAAGGACCACCACGACCCTCTTGTTGAGCCAAACGGAAATGTGAAGCAAAGGGAAGAAAGGGGGCGACGCCGAGCCTTCTGCTCGGGAACGCCAGCGTCGAGCGCTCTGCTTATGCCATGCATACGCATCGCACGCACGCACGCGCTCACCATGGTGAGACCACCGTGTCTTCTACGTCGCGGTAAAGGCGACATTGACACCATGACTAGCTCCGCCATGACGAGAGACACACCGCGCTCACCTTAGCCGAGG